AAGTTCACCTTCAATGAAAGGAAAAAAGTACCTGATTTTTAAGTTACTCACTTAAAAAGTAGTAAATTAGTTCAAAAGTAGAAATGAGTAAAATAATTAAAGTTCATTATCTGATTCCAAGAGGAGCCTTAAGCCCACCTGGTAAGTATCTAATAACGACTTAATGGGTTGGACTAAGATAGTAAAATAATAGAAAAACAAATCAGTGACCATTTGCAAACACCAAGGGGAGGTGTAAATTTTAGCAGTTTCAACGACACACTGTTTAAAACTTGGCAGGACGTTTCTATGCATCTATTTTGTTCTGAGTAGAGTGTATATTTTATAGGTATGTCACAACCTATAAAACTGTTATAAATACCACGGTATTTATCTTTTTCCTGAAAAGATGGGGCCATGATGCAACATGAAACGCCAGTTTAGAGAACATTCATTCCTACCAAGGCAGCCAGCAATCCTGATGCCTGTCAAATTGAGACATTAACTTTCAAATATAACCATGTAGTAAATCAAAAATGAGGTGGCATGTCTTTAAAACGATGCTTGATTTTGTTTGTGTAGTTTAGGTCCACCAAGAGACTTCTTGAGAAGGTGTGTAGGGGGAAAACAGGAATGCAAACACTAAGTATAAATTAACGACATGTAGAGTTTACAGTGATAGGCAATAAACCTTTGATTCATCCAGAAAATGATATAATATCAGATTCCAGTAAACTAAATTTTCCAGCTAGCTAGGGGATAACAAGAACACTTTGACATTGTAATTACGCCAAACGGCATTGTTTTGCCGTTGTTTAGTAGTCATGCAATGAACATGACTTCTTCCTCAGTAGGTCATATCACTGCAGAAGCCTCGAATCTCATTCTGATGATAGTTTCAACGATATGTCACTGCTAATACACAAGTTAAAGGAATCAGAATTTTTTTTTTGCCTACATATTTACAAATCCCAAAGAAACATACTTTTAATCCAAAACTTCCTTACGTTACCAAATTTTATTACAATTGCCTCTTTTCTAAGTAAAATAAAATCCTCTACCTCATTAAATAATCTGTATTTTGATTTGATTCAAAATTTTGATTTGCCTTTGGCATTCTGCTGCCCAGAAAAGGGAAAGCCAGCCACTGTGACGCCAGACGTGCCCGGATTTTCGTGGCGCAGCCACTTGCTGTAAGCAGGATATAGCCTCACGATGCATCCGTGCTTGGGAGCGTTAACTGCAACGTCCAGATGCTCACGAAGGAAACTAAGAAGTTTCTGAGCATATCTGCTCATGGATAATGTTATTAGTCTCAGTATGAATTTTGAGGAAACACTGCTATTTTATGGAGAGATAAGCTGAGGTGCTGAGAATCTAAAAATTGGGAAACAGTCATTTTTAGAGGTAAAGGAATCAAAGCTGTTATCAAGTACCCTGTGCTGAACGTTTTTCCCTATCAATAACGCTCCACTGCAACGAAAGTGCAATCTTTTTAAAATAACTTTTATTCCCAAGTGATCGCAACTTTTATCAATTGATCAGGTTATGTTGCAAGACTTCAACCTACATCTAAGCACTAGCTTTGAAGGCCTTAGCAAAATGCAACACATTTACTATAACAGACAATAAAGATTCTTAAAAATTAAACAGAATGCTTTATATTTGGGAAAAGTTTTTAATAATTTGTTATGGGATAAACTGTCATGACAATATTAATAGTAAAAACTATTTTTTCTACTAAATAATAATTATTGAAATCAAGCAATAGGCTATCAACAATAACCCTCATAGGAGTACAATGCTCCTTATTTATAAAACACTCTGTAACAGACAATATGTTAAATATTTTATATAATTTAACACGACTTAATTCTTACAGAAATGCTGTGAGGCTGGCAAGGGTGTGTCCACTTTGCATACGCGGCAACAGAGGCCCAGGGGACTGGAGTAAGCACCTCTGGGCCGCACAAGGAGCAACGCCCTTCGCAGGAAACAGCTGAACTCTGCCTGGCTGCCGTCTGCGTTCTCAGCTGCCCCGTTCTCTGTAACAACTTCTTCCGGCTCTGTAAGTCTCAAACTAGAAAGAAATATCCTACAGCCCTTGACTGTTGCTGTCAAGCTCATCAAGCACCACCTCGTTCCTGGGATCCAAGAACTTGTTTAAAAACAAAAAGAAAAATAAATTTCCGCACCCTGACCCAGGTGTCCTGAACCAGAACCCAGAGGCCAGCATGATCGTGTTGGTGTCTCATAAGCCACTTCCGGTCGGGCTCTCTCTCAGTCCTGGATTTCACGCTACTCCTTTTCCTCTGCTTTTTTATCAAGTACATTTTGGTGTCTGCACTTTGGGTGTACAACATGATGCTACGAGGTCCACCTAGGTGGTAAGATGGCTACTGTTCTGTCCCTCCCAAACACAGGCATTGGGTAGCACTGATGACACCCTCTTCCCATGCAGCCCATGGAGCCCACAGCTGACACCCAACCCGGGGTCAAGGCCGCCAGAAGCTGCCTGAGCTTACCCCGAGATGTCCCTGTGCTGTTTCTGCTCCCCGCAGAGGTCTGGAATGCACGCCCATAAATCTAATTTAACGAGCGCTCATTAGATGAAGGGCCCAATGGGTGTCCAGTACCGTACTCAGCCCTTGAAGAGCTCATGCGGAGAAAGGCCAAGGAAAACCCTGGAGTCGAGACAGGAATATTCAAGGATGTATATACAAGAAGTCGACAAAGGAGCAGAATTGGGGATTTCAAGAAGAAAGCGGAGAACAGAAAAAACACTAAGTCAGGGTCCTTCGTCAGAGACAGAATTCCTGAGGTCTGAACCCAGGGAGAACACCACACGGCCACCGTTATCCAGGGTCACTTCCCTCATAACCTCCTCTGCAGCAGAGTGGTGCTGCCTGGATGCTGACTCTCCAAACTGAACCTGGACTAGGGGTGGGGAGATCACTTTCCAGCTCCCGCTGATTTGCACAGGGTCTGGGACAATGAAATGTAAAAACCGTCTCTCAGCTGAATCTCTTATTCTAATTGTTTCCTGCTACCAAATGGATTCATTTCTGATGAGTTTCCTTTGTAGTAGCTAGTATGTTTCTACAGCCAATCTCAAAAGAAGGAAAAAGACACAACTTCTCGGGTTTCCTTTGAATGTTTTTTTCTGTTATCTTTTGCAGCTGGAATCACGTTACTTTCTTTAACATACTGCATGAATTATTGTCACATGTTAAAGATGTTTTAACAGTGATGTTAACAGGCATATTCTATTTTAATATGGAGCAAAATAATACTTTCACATCTATGCACAGATCTTTCATAAGTTTATAGAAAACCCAATGCCATTGAAATGAGAACTTCTAAATTCGTCAAGCGGTTTCTGGATTCAATCGTTTGGAATCAATTTTCATGGGAATCCTGGCTTCGGGAGAAGAATTCCACATGGAAAACCAAAGGCTGAACGCGCTTTGGGACTCAGCTTAAACTTGCGGGGGGAAAAAATCCTCATTTTGATTTTGGCATCTAGTGTACACACAGCAGAACAACTATTCTTCACACAAGCATCAGCTGCCACGGTAAAGTCCTTCACAACACAAAGCAAAACCCACCTCACAACTGATGCGAAAGGCAGCCACCCTCCTCGTCACAACTGCCTGGAGACAGACACACCTTTCATGTCCTGCATTCATCCTGGCGACGCACACTCCTCTGGAGGGCTTTTGAACTTGGATTGGACACCTCTTAGATTTACGCTTTCTCTAAATGGGAAGAGGTTTTCTTTTCTTACTGTTTTAGCCTTGCTTGGAGTTCCAGACTAACGTAGATTAAAGAGATGTAGTCTTGGCCTTAGGAATTCAATGTTTGTTCTTGATCTTTTTTATTCCTTTTGTTTTTATGAGGTTGAGCTAAAAACCCCAAAGTGGGACATAATGGCTTTAGAGACAGGAAGAAAATACTCCATCATTTTTTCTAGTGTAAAAAACCCACAGGGCTCTTTTGTTGAAAGCCCACAGTGGAAGCACTCCCTCAGAAGCCACCTTTTTTTTTTTTTCCTTAATGGCCTTCAAAGAGACAGCATTCGGAAACATGACAGCATCAAGTGTTACTCAAGGTAGCCCCAAAACAAACTAAGTGGTTTATGGTCAAAGCCTCTGTTTACTATATATACACTTGTCAAAATAGGGATTTTTTCCCCCCACTGATAAAATGTTCTTTAAATTCTACAACAAACTATTTGTTCCTTAAAAGGAAAATAAAAAAAACACGAGAGAGTTCTCAAATGAGACACAGTGAGAAATAATCGGTATGACATCATGGATAAAGGAAAAAGAGATTTTGAGAACGAAAAACATCTGGATTATGGATACCAAGGAGAGGGTGGCCACTCCAACACTTCCTTTACAATGTGACTCCAACTTTCAGAGACGGTAAAGCATAGAAGACGACTCTGCCGGGCCCAGGGAGCATCGGATGACACGTCTCTTATCACAATCAGCAAATTGAAACACAAGGCACTCCTCCGCTCCTCCCACCCACATGTACAAGTGTCTGTCATGGGACGGCACATGTATCTAGAAGGCGGCTGCACGGCCGCTACCAGAGAGAACAGAGCCCTCCTGTTTGTGTTACCAATCCTACAGGCCCTTAAAAGCATGTGCTCCAGAGCAATGAAAGATTGGTTTCCCAGGTTGTCACGGGAGCCGCTAGTAGCTACCATTGGGGCACAAGACTAGGCGGCTCCATGCTCAGCGACCCAGACTCTGAAGCACACCCTCCTTCTCCACTTGACCAAGACAGGACACTCCTTAACTCTGGAAACTTAATTCGATTTCCGGTAGCAAATACTTACAGAGAACCCACAGGCAAAACGCCATGCTTTCTCTAAATATGTTTGAAATAAATTATTAGGGCAATATTTAAAGCCTCTGCTTACCGCGAGCTAATAAATAATATTTGCCTCGAGTAGGATCGTGGCATTTCATACTACTAAACAACCACAGCCAAGGTCCCCTGGTGCCCACCTTGAACAGTCAAAGTAGCAGACGCCTCTGCCTTCCCGACCATATTTTCTGCCACACACGTGTATGATCCCATGTCTCCAGCCATCACCTTCCGGATTTTCAAGGTGTGATCATCTCGAATTTCATATCTGGTGATGTAAGGAAAGAAAGCTCAGTTAAGTGACCGTCTATGAAAGATCCCATCACTATGTATGACACCTCCAAGGAGTCAGTCTCACACAACATTCTCTTCAGAAAATTTACAACAAAGCGTTTACAACAAAGCGTGAAATATGGGATTCCCCCAAGTCAGCAGGCAAGAGAAAGGGGCTTGTTTTCAAATTTTTGGTGAGATAACATATTACACCACTTTCTGAAAGAACAGTTTTGGGAACATGTGGCACATATTCATGTACTTCCTCAGCTCATACTAAAATTAAAAGACCGGATCGCTAGTTCAATTCTTTTTCTTTTTTTTTTGAGTTGGAATCTCACTCTGTCACCCAGACTGGAGTGCAGTGGCACGCTCCCGGCCACCGCAGCCTCGACCTGCTGGGCTCCGGCGATCCTTCCGCCTCAGCCTTCCAAGTAGCTGGAACTACAGGCGTGTGCTACCACACCCGGCCCATTTTTTTGATTTATTGTGGAGATGAGGTCTCGCTAAGTTGCCCACACAGGTCTCGAACCGGCGGGCTCAGGCAATTCACTTACCTCAGCCTCCCAAAGCATGGGATTACAGGCTGAGCCACCGAGCCCGGCTTAGTTCAATTCTTAAATAGTAAGAATCCTCATGTGTGTCTCAACTCCTTACACATCACATGCGCTGCACATTTTCCCTTTCCAGCTCTTGTAACAAGTGTGGGGAGTATCATGCTTACCTCCATTCTGCAGGGGAGGTACCTGAGCCGGGGAAGGTCATGGCCTCGGGCCTCAGCTGGCTGAGTGGCAGGGCTGGCGAGTGGGCCCAGGTGCATTCGGAGTCCACCTGCCTCCCCTCGCCCGTCGGGCTTCCCTGAACCCTCTTCCCCCACGAAACCCTCTTCCTCCCCGAGCCGAGGCATCAGCCGTCGTCTGCACACTGACGGGTCACACAGGCATTTCCAGCCTCTGTGCCATCTGAGATCCAAGGCCAGATGCCCTGCTGAGCCACAGACACACCTTCCACGGGTCCCTCGCGTCGAATGCGCTAGACGACGTCCTTGTCTTCCCCCAGCGCTCACCAGCCGCTGTCCCTGCACTGCCCACCCTGCTGCTGCGCCTGCTCCCAACACCCCACAAGCCGGCGACCTGTCGCTTCAGGCTCAAGAGTTTCTGGGCAGCGCGGGGTCCCGTCTCCGCCTCCCCCCCAGCTCAGGCAGTTCACCTCTCCGGTCTGGACAACCACAGAAGCAGCATCCCCGCCACGGGCTTCTCCCCAGAAGCACGCGTCACCCATCGTTTCTTCTAAGGCGCCACCTGTTCTCGCTCGGCACTCCCGGCTCCTCCAGTGCAAATGACGTGATCGGAAACCCCTCGTGACACAAAGCTGCCAGCCACTCAGTCCCAGGACTTCCGGCCTGACCCCTCACGTCCAACCCGCACCCTGGCCATGCTAGCCTGGCGACCACTCACACACACGATGCCCTTTCCCCAACGGAGTCCGCACAGAGGTGCCACTTTTCCGGGCTGCTCTTCTTCCTTGCTTCCAAGGCACTGCCGTGTGCGACATCCCTTGAGAACTCTCTCCCGCTGCCCTTCCCCAGGGCTGGCATGGGCCTGCCTCTATGCGCCCAAGGGCGTGACGATGTCTGTCTCTATGCCTCCCGTGAGCAGAAACCATGTCTCAGCCACTGCTGCCACCCCGACACTGAGAAGGAGCTCAACATGTGTGGCTGGCAAGTGGCCATCCTGGCAAGGACAGCCACGGGAGGCCTCAGGCCGGGGTGCCGTTCGTCCCTGGAGGTCCGCTCCCGGCTGCTCTGAGGGCTTGACGGGTCTCAAGGCAGCCCGAATCTCCCACCCCTCCCGGGCTGCTCTGCGAAGGCAGGGGAGCCTGGCCCTGGCCGGCTCGGGCGTGCGTCCTGTGTGTCCTGCCTTTCTTCCCCTCCTAGCTCCTTCGGCCCCCAAAAGTTGGCGCTACCCGAGATCCTGTAGAACAGAGCAAGCCCCGCGAGGTAAAGCCCCGCTGGCAAGGGCCCCCGTGCAGGCTGGAGCCACGGAGACCCCAGGGCACCAGCAGCCCTGACCGAGGTGCTCCAGCGCTGATCCGGCCCACGGGGCGTCCCACGGGGATGCTCTGGCGACCGTGTGGAGAGGGGCCCCCGGGAGGTGCCACAGGGCAGAGACGGTGGTACCTGGACTTGGGCAGCTCCCCGTCATCCTTCCTCCACCGCACGGTGGGCACAGGGTCACCGCGGGCCTCGCATTTGAACTCTGCACTGTCCTCCACGGTGACTGCCAGGTTACTCGGCCTCTTCACAAACGATGGTCGCTCTGAAAGGAGGAAGCCATCTCAAGACAAGATGCAAAAGTGCTGAGCTGAGGAACACCGGAGACCCAGCAGGAACAGAAAGGAACATGGGATGGAGAGAGTCACTCTACACGGCACCCTGCTTTGGGAAACTTCTCCCTGGGCTTCCCACACCCCGTCCCGTGTCCCGGGCTGCCTCGGAATGCCTTCTCTCTTCCCGTCCCCCAACCCTGGCTCTCCGATCCTTCTTTCTCCCTTGGCCGAAGGCCACCGACACCCGGCACAAGGCCACGTCTCTCGCGTCTTTGTACGAGGCCGTGAAGCGCGCCCCCGGTGGGCGGCGCACAGCCCCACTTACCCAGGACGGTCAGCTCCGCAACCTCGCTCTCGCGCTCGCCAACCATGTTGGTGCCCACGCACACGTACTTGCCAGCGTCGCTCTTGCGGGTGTACGTGACCATGAGCTTCCCGCCGCGGATCTTGAAAAGAAAGTTGCACACAAACACCGTTAACGCTGCCTCCACTAATCTAACACCAGAGGTCCTCAGAGGCAGAAGCCACTGGCAAGGTGTGTACGTCTAAGCCAAGTCCTGTCAAAAACCGGTGTGTGATGCTGGCTGCATTTTTAGGTAATAACCATAGGCAGAATCAAGTCCAAAGGTACAAACAAAAGAGGCACAATGATGTTTCTCCTGGCTTACCTCTCTTGTAAAGCCACATATTCTGTATAACTCGAAATGTGCGCTTCCAAATCAGCCAAGTTCTTTCATATTATTTAGTTAAGTGAAAACCACAAAAAAATTGCACGCATAATTTGGTTAGCATGAGCGAAAAAGGAAATTCTTGATACATATGACAATAATTAATATAGAAGCACACATTAGTTATAAGTGAGTTCAAGAGAATGTATTCCAGCATTATAAGATGTGAAAATAAAAATTTCTCTACTTGTTTAATTTGCCAGAGTTGCTTCAAAGGAATCTATCTTAACTGCCAGAACACGGTAAACATGTCATTTCCTAGAAAACAGATGTTGCTGCTGCCCAAGCAGTTTCTTGGGAACTTAGAAGACTGGACAGGTCCCGAGAATTCATCTAGAAAGTCACATTCAGGTGCACTCTTGAACACACAACTAACTCAATAAAACGAATTTCAAATATAAGCAGACACACAAGAAGTGACCAATGCTAAATATGAACTGAGATTAGAATGTGGAAACAACTATCTCTGCTAACTTAATGTGGTTTGGGTTGAGTACTGAGCTCAGTTATACATGAATATCTATAATGTCCTGATTTAGAAAGGTTTTGTCAAAGAAAGCCTCCAGAATGCTTATTCGTGGAGGTTTTCACCTCACAGTTATTTGTGTTGAGTATCAGTTAGACAAAGGAGAAAGACAGACAAATGGAACAGAGGAAGGGAGAGAGGAAGGGAGGAAGAAAGAAGGAAAAAAAGAAGGAAGGGGGGAGGGAGGGAAGTGGATGAAAGGAGAGAAAGAGAGAAGGAGAGAGAAGGAAGGAAGGAAGGAAACCAAACTTTTTCTCATCATACATGATAGAGTCCATTGACACTCCTACTTCGTACAGGTAGGATCACACTGTTTTGGAGGCTTAAATTGCTTTCTTTTCATCCGAACACCCAAACTAGACATTCTGGACCAATCTCTATGTATTAAAACAAGTCAACTGTCAAGAGAGTGAAATTCCCGTGGGTTGAGCTTGATAATTGAGTAGTTATAGAAGCAAATGATCTTGCCGCTCCAGACACCACTCTGAGCCCTCCAGGACTGCTCTCTGCACTATTCATGAATCGAGAACAAATGCCTAGAATAATGCCTCCATGTAGTGGCCATGCAAAGGATTGCTTTTGAATGCAAACTAGTACTCTTATAGACAAAAGCATGTCTGCCACCCAATTTAAACATTCCTATAAAGGTGTGTCAGCTACAAGATGTACTGATAACAGTTTGGTTGTTTTCATACATACTTAAATTTCCAAATAGAAAATTACAAAGAAGAAAATAAAGGTCACACACACACACAATCCCCAAAGTAATGACTGTCACTACCTTGGACAAATTCTTCTCTGAGGTCTGGCACATATACACATATGTGCATACATGCAGCAAAGAAATGCTTTCCATACATACACACATCTGAGCACGAGCACACACTGACACTCTGTTCCCACAGGACAGAGGACACATGCTCTCCTGTAACCGGCACTTCAGTTACATAACGCATCTTCCATGTTAAACACGAGAGACACCTTAGACCCGCGGTGCCCTTCAATGGCCACACAGAATCCCAACGCCTGGATTTATGTATTTTGCCAACCACCCCTCTTGATACGTCAGAGGTGACTGACAGGTATTTTAGACACTTCATTCTTCCTCTCGCAAGCCCTGCTGCCATCAGCAACCTTTTGGACACATCTTGCCCCTGTGTGCCCCTGTCTCCTTAGCTCTCAAAGCAGGAGTCTGCAAGGAAGTGTCGACCCAGCCCCAGGCCTCTGGCTCCCCGCGCTGCCCGCCTCGCGATTCGGAAAGGGCCTTGCGTGCACACGTAGCCTTACGTCGCTCACCTCCAGCCCCGCTGGGAAAGTGTTGGGGAAGGTGCTGCAATCACCCCACTGTCCATGGAGGGGAGTGGCGCTCTAGGAAAGCGTGCCCCCTCCTCCAAACCCCTTCTTGGGTTTTAGTCACGCTTCAGGTGTCATTTCCCCTCAAGTGTGAACAGCATGGCAGAGGAGCCACCAACCCTCGAGACCGCCTCATCCCAAGCCTCGTCAGGAGTCCCACGCTGTGGAGGAAAATGACTTGCACAGCGCCACATGACGAGCTGGGGCAGGTGACGATTTTGGCGAAGACGTGCGCTGCGCCTTCGGCCGTCTGAGCTGTGTGAACGACTCTGAATGCAAGCCCACACCCACTATCATAATCACTGCTTCACAAACGCAAGCTTATCAACTTGGGTTCTTCGGGTCCAGGACAGTTTGCGTGCTCTCAAACCAAAAGCCTCCTAGGCCGCGTTGCTGTGGGCTTCGTCAGGTACTGGTTTTGAAACCCTCACATGAGAATTCCCCAAAGTCCCAAGGAGTCAGCATCACCAGAGCAGGAAGGAAGGTGAGAAACCAGCCTCTGAAGTGGAGGCCAGGGGGTTGAGATGTGGTTCTGGCGGCTCCTGGTTCTACGACCTGAAACCACACTCGCGCCTCCTCGGACCCACAGACCCCAGCTTGGAAGTCTTTGCGTGCCGAGGAGGCCAGTTCGTTTCTGAATATCTAATAGTATGTAAAAGTTTCATCAGAACAGGAAGAAACAAGCAAATGCTGTTAACATTCTTTCTGCCCTACACGCAAATAAGTCACTCTGTTTTATCTTCAATAAAACGTAAGGCTTTAAGGAGATCTCTGAAAAGCACATTCAAACAAATACAAAAATGTGAGTCAAGGGATGGCACCACTCGTTTCCAGGAGAACAGATCTACTTCTACAGCCTTGTATGATACAGTTCCGATCTACTTTTGCAAATCTTAAATACTTGGGAATGTGGAGTGTCAAGCCAACTTGCTTTTGCACACAAGAGGCACTAATTAACATGATCTGCTCCAGTCCAGTCAGTGCTCTTGGATTTTGAAAGGATCCACACAAATGGGGGACGAGGTTAGGTACCAGGAGTTTTGAGAAGACTGACTGCCAGGAGATTCCCAGATGTGGGAAGAAACGTCTTTCTGGGAGAATAACAGGAGGAAACAACACCTGAGGCAAACCTAAATTCAAAGCACTATTAAGTCCTGGAAAATCCTAAAGCACATACCATACCCTATCCCATTAGCTCCCCTGTGTACTACATGTGGCTCAATCCGGAAAAACTTTAAAACTCGACCTACCAGGAGACATATGCTTTGGAAGCACATGGCTATGATTTGGTATTGAATATAAATAAAAAAAGTGCTTCTTTCTAACACAAATTTATGTTACAGCCATCTTCTATGACTTAATCACATCTACTGCATAACTAAGAAGTAACCCACCAGGCACTTCACAAATATTTACTCTACTCTTTCCAAGTAAACCAACACTAATAATGATATGTACTACTTGACAAATTTCTCTGCAATGAATGTTTTTTGACAAATCAAGCATCTTAAAAAGCTGTTTTCATTAGTATCATAATATGACTGAAAGCATGTATTTATCACAGCTGTTCATGCATATATAATTTCTATATCAATGCAAAAAATTAAAACCATTTGAGATCTGAATGAAATATTAAACTTACAAAATATATTTTTAATGAGAAAAACCCATTTTTCCTTGTAACAACAGCAAGAATATTAATCCTGAATGACTAAATAAATTCAACAAAATTGCACCTCTGCTTTTCCACTCAAGGTACTGTTTACCAACACTATCTAGGTGAGACTCAAACTCAAAATGAAAATGCTTGCAAACATTTTTTCTAAATTTTTTAAAAGATTTCTACATCCCAGATAATGTTTCAGATTCATATACATGGGAGTGCACAGTGAGCATGTGCACTGGAGTCAGAACCGCTCTTGCCATACATGTGTGGCTTTAGACAAGATATTCTCTCTTCTGTACCTGTTTTTTCATCTGTAGAATGGGAATCCTATTAACACGTAACTCTAAGGACGACATAAACATTACCTGAGACACACCACATCTAGTACTTAGAAAAACACCTGCACAGTATTACTACAATTACATATTACACGTATGACTTAATGATTCAATAGATACTTATCTCAACAGAAACAGCCTTCCTTTGTCAGGCTAAACTCAGAACCTTTTACTAAAATTACACTCACGCACTGCATAACGGTGTTTCGGTCAAAGACAGATCTCATACATGATGGAGGTAGCTAGGGTCACGACGAAGCTGGAAACGCCTGTCGCCAGTGATGTTATGCCCGTGGTTAGGTCTACGCCCAGGGCAATGCCTTGCCTGTGTCCAGAGACGTGAACACTCACCACTGTGTTACAGGTGCCTCCAATATTCTACAGGGTCACACACTGTGCAGCTAGGCACCTAGGAGCAACAGGCTAGACCATCAGCCTAGGCGTTTCGTAGGCTAGCCCAGCGAGTTTGTTGAGCAACACTCTGGTGTTCAGAGGACTTGGTCACCTAATGACCCCTTCTTCAGGACGCATCCCGTGGTTAAGCGATGCATGACTGTAATGACTAGAGCAACTGCTATCGGTTTTGTCAGGAGAACGTAAATTTGCATCAACACAGCAGAGACTCAAAGCAAGTAATTCTGAGGTCTCGTATGTTAGTCTGATTCCCTTCAAAACAGGGATTTCGCCCCAGGGGCTGCCCCCTTCCTCTCCCAGGAGATACTTGGGATATCTGAAGACATACCTGCTTGTCAGAACTTGGGGGGTGGGATCTGAAGGATAGAGGCCAAGGACACACACGAGAGTGACCTACTCAGAAAGCCAGCAGTGCTGAGGC